TCCTGCTGGCTGTTAGAGAGAATGTAGGTTTTAAGACACTTCTGCGTTGGCTTCAAATTTCTGACCCAGAAGCTCAGTCCATTATATATACTGATATACATATTTTTTATTGCATTTTTTTCTTTTCGTTTAATGTATTGACCTGACCCCTTTGCCTGTCTGTCCTTAGGTAGTGGTGAACGCCCTGATTGGAGCGATCCCGTCGATCTTTAATGTGCTGTTGGTGTGTCTAATCTTCTGGTTGATCTTCAGCATTATGGGAGTGAATCTGTTTGCAGGAAAGTTTTATTACTGTTTTAATGAGACATCTGAGGAGTATTTTCCCCCTGAAATTGTCAACAATAAGACAGAGTGTTTGGCATTAATTAAAGCAAACTTCACTGAGGTCCGCTGGAAGAACATTAAAGTGAACTATGACAACGTGGGGATGGGCTACCTGTCACTGTTACAAGTGGTGAGTCTCAATTCTAAACATATGTCATACAAGTGATTCAGTCTGATATATGAAACAGTAAAACTATGAGATATGACAGGTTAGGCATCAAAATAATATTTTTTAACAATTTTGTCAGTCCTGCTAAGACTTGCAGTGAACAAATTACCCTATGGGGATCAATAAAGGATAACGAAACATACCTAACAGTATGTTTGTGTATGTTAGAACTGAATCTATCAAACCCCCACAACTGATGGCTACAATTAAACAGTAATCAGTTAAATATGAGCATATTTCTTCAGCATAAGAATAGTTAATCTGAGCTGGCATTCTTTTCTGTACACACATTTTTTAACCTGTTGGGTCTCACTGTATGCAGATGACTGGACTTGCTTTATATATCATATCATATTATATACATATATAGATTACATTTAGTTGTCTAAATGGAAACTGATAATAATGAGTCTTGTCTCTTTCAGGCCACATTTAAAGGCTGGATGGACATCATGTACGCAGCAGTGGACTCCAGAGATGTCAGTATATAAATAAATAAAACAATTCTGGGATTAATACTTCTGTGAAGTACCCTTGAAACCTGTGCCTAGATTAATCTAAACCTATTGTGCCAATCCTAACAACACTAAAAGAATGTCGTATGTTGTATGAAGATCTTTGCTGCGTCTCAAATTTGTACGAAGCAAATTTGTGATTTTGTGTTGCACAGGTAAAACTTAAAATTGACTTGAGTCTGGTTACCATGGTTACCAAACTGTGTGTGTGTGTGTGTAGGTGGAGTCCCAACCGATCTATGAAGCCAATCTGTACATGTACATTTACTTTGTCTGCTTCATCATCTTCGGCTCCTTCTTCACCCTAAACCTCTTCATTGGAGTCATCATCGATAACTTCAACCAGCAGAAAGCCAAGATATGTTTACACTCACTGAATGCTCTGTCCAGATTCAACTGTGATAGTAAATATTATTCTGTTTCTATCTGTCAGTGAGTTAACTGTAGCCTTTTCTTTTGTCTTTACATGGGAGGAACAGATATTTTCATGACGGAAGAGCAGAAGAAATATTATAACGCCATGAAAAAACTGGGCTCGAAGAAACCTCAGAAACCTGTTCCTCGACCTGAGGTCAGTTCAGTTACTTCCTGTCTGACTTTATTAAAACCAGTAAACCAGAAGACAGTAGATACAGGTGTTTAAAGTTCAGATGAGACCAGAATTAAAACATCAGTCTGAAGCAGTTTCCAGTCCTTCTTTCTGGGCTAACGTCATGTGTTTCTTCTCAAGAATAAGTTCCAGGGTTTGGTCTTTGACCTGGTGACCCAACAGTTCTTCGACATCTTCATCATGGTGCTGATCTGCCTCAACATGGTGACTATGATGGTGGAGACGGACGAGCAGAGTGCGGAGAAAGAAATGATCCTGTACTGGGTCAACCTCGTTTTCATCATCATCTTCACCACAGAGTGCTCTCTGAAGGTTCAGTTATAGTTTTATATAGTTTTTTATATTTTGTAATATTCTTATCTGTGATAAGATTGTACTCGTACACTGTACTCTTTTTGCATTAAATTCCCCAATGCTGCTGTGTGTAACTTAAATTTTTCCTATGGGGGATTAATAAAGGTATATCTTATCTTATCTTATCTTAAGGTCATCGCGCTCCGGCAGCATTATTTTGCCGTAGGCTGGAACATCTTCGACTTTGTGGTCGTCATCCTGTCCATTGTAGGTGAGTCGGGAAAGTGTCTGGTGATGTTATTGTCTCATCTGGTGATGTCATTGTCTTGTCATTCATTCTTGTGTCATTCTTTCTTCCCCTCAGGTCTCCTCCTTGCTGATATCATAGAAAAGTATTTTGTCTCACCCACGCTTTTCCGAGTAATCAGACTGGCTCGTATTGGCCGAGTCCTTCGCCTCATTCGTGGAGCCAAGGGTATCCGGACACTGCTGTTTGCCCTGATGATGTCACTTCCTGCCCTCTTCAACATTGGCCTCCTCCTCTTCCTCATCATGTTCATCTTCTCTATCTTTGGCATGTCCAACTTTGCCTACGTGAAGAAGGGGGCCATGATCGATGACATGTTTAACTTTGAGACGTTTGGAAACAGCATGATTTGTTTGTTTATGATTACCACTTCAGCTGGATGGGACGGTCTGCTGAGTCCCATCATGAACACACCGCCGGACTGTGACCCCGCCATAGATAACCCAGGAACGACGGTCAGCGGAAACTGTGGTAATCCGGCAATGGGCATCGTCTTCTTCACCACCTACATCATCATGTGCTTTCTGGTGGTGGTCAACATGTACATTGCCATCATCCTGGAGAACTTCAATGTAGCCACAGAAGAGAGCTCTGACCCTCTGTGTGAGGATGACTTTGAAATGTTTTATGAAACCTGGGAGAAGTTTGACCCTGACGCGTCACAGTTTATACAGTACAGGTGAGTCCCTCTTTCTGCAAGCTGGGTCTTCATCTGGGAATTTTCTGATCCTAAACTGACTCTGATGTGTTCCACAGTAAGCTGTCAGATTTCTGCGACACTCTGAAGGATCCTCTGAGGATTCCCAAACCAAACACCATCAAACTGATCCACATGGATCTTCCTCTGGTTCCTGGAGACAAGATCCACTGTCTGGACATCCTGCTTGCACTCACTGCACAGGTACCATGACCCCTATACCCAGATCCAACAAAACCCTGTCCACCGTCCACTGCTGATATTATATTATATTATATTAAATTATATGTCTGCAGGTTTTGGGTGATTCAGGAGAGATGGACACTCTCAAAGCCAGTATGGAGGAGAAGTTCATGGCCAACAACCCCTCCAAGGTTTTATTCTATTTTATTATTTTGTTTTACCCATTATCTTGACCCACACTCTTCATCTTCATTCCTATTTAATCTTAGTGTTATTTTCCACATTCATACAGTATTCATATAATTCAATACAATACTGTGAACGGTTTATTTTTCTATATGTAGTCTAATGTAAATGACAGATGGTGGTGGAGCATATGTTTAAGTTTTAGATCTTCAGGCATGAATGTATTTAGAAAAAGATTTGACCTTCAGTGGTTCATGATGAAAACAAGTCAAAATGTGGAAAATATTTTCTATGTTGACTTTATCTGTTGAAATGTTTTCAATGATTTGTCTCTTGCAGATTGGGCATTGGTCATTCATTGATATTGTTTATAACTGATTAGACTGTAATTATTGTTACCTACAGGTGTCATATGAACCAATCAGTAGCACTCTACGGAGAAAACAGGAAGAAGTGGCAGCGACAGTGATCCAAAGAGTGTATAGGAAACACCTCCTGCAGCGGACAGTCAAACTGGCGTCCTACAAATACAGAGAGAAGATGGAGGGACGGCGAGACGAGAAGGCTCCGCCAGAGACAGAGGGACTTCTTTGTAAACGACTCAGTCAGCTGTATGGAAACAGCGCAGAGACAGAGGAGCCCATCTCAAGTGAGGATCCCCCCGCCCGCGTGGAGCTTCAGAGCGAGTTTCTCCTCCACGCTGCTCCTCCTCTCAATGCCCCAGACTTCCTGCGACACGAGAATCTGAGGGAGTCTATTGTCTGAGGATGTTTCTGCAGTTTTTCCTGTTTTCCTCTGTACTGTGCAAACTCACCTCTGGTGTTTCTTGTTGGAGGAGCAGCTACAGCATCTGTGGAGACTCCGCAGAGCGACAAATCGCAGCAGAGACAAGTTCACAGTGAACGCTGCAGACCTTCAACCATCGATGACGCTTAAACTGTGTCAGTTGGTTCTGTTCTTCCTGTGGCTTCGCACTTGAAAATGTCTTGTGCTGAGGTTTTTAATCTTCTAACAGTTCCCGTCTAACTATGGTGCCAGTAGAAACTGAATTTGCATACCCTGATTTATCGTCTATTTT